AACCCGGCTCACTGCTGTTATCAAGCAGGGTTCGGATTATACTCCGACTCTTGGGGGGGCCTGCGGTGATGGCAACCGGAAGGAGCTGCTGCTGCCTGGGCAGCTTAGAAAGGGTCAGGGTGGGCCAAGGGCTCTTGTCTCTTATTGGGGGGGCTCTTATCTCTTATGGGGGGCTCTCGTCTCTTATGCAGGGGCTCAGCACCTCTAACTCTCCCCATATTTCAAACCCTGTTATCAAGTAATATGCTTCTAAGGAAGGAGAGCAAAAACCTTCACTCTCCACTCCCCCTTGCCCACTCTTCCATGCCCTGTGTTGCCAAACCTGTAGAAAAAACATGATTTTGGCCAGACCCTGAGCTAGGATACATCCGTGCAGCTACTTTGTTACCAGCAGTGCCCCTCAACTGAAGAGTCAGCCTAAAAGCAAGTCACTTTCCTTAGAGCTCAGTTGTGTATCATCTGGACTTTATCCGCTTATAACTGCTTCTGAGCGAAGAGTTGAAAAGCACCACTTTGAAGCTTCACAATGAGCTTTGCAGAAGCACCAGACCTCTAGCCAGAGGTCAATGTGTTCACCCTTTCTGCTTCATTTTTTGGAAAAGATCATTCACTCCACAGTCTTTGCACCACACGCCGCAGCCCAGCAGCAATTCTCAGTCTGCCCCTGACCATGAAGAACTGCGCCTCTCCTCCTCTTTCTGCAGGGCTTTTCCTAAGGACAAACAGACAAGCAATTACATCTGAGATTCAGTGAAAATATTTGAATAGATCCTGCCAAGAAATTAGCATTTTAAGTTATTTTGAACATAAAAGCCATTCCAAGGAAAGCTGATTCCACTATAGGGCAGGTGGCTATTTTTAAAACTGCTGCAGGCCTTGCAGCTGGGGTTTTGTTTGTTTTGTTTTGTTTTGTTTTGTTTTTTTGATTCTTTGACATTTAAAGATAAGTCTTGTACAAGAGTGTTATGCAAAGCCAGGCTCCAAATTCCAGCACTTCCAAAACTGTTCTCAACAGGACGGGTGCTGAACACAACTACCGTTAGGGCCCTCTGCATCATTCCAGCACTTGGAAGGGCCAGGATAACTCTGCTGTAGCTTGTTTAGCCCAGAAGTTCCCACTCAGGGAATTATTGGGGGTGGGGGGATTGTTTGTTTTGGTTTTTTTAAGTATTTTTAAATTTCTCCAATTCAGCAAGAAATTACAGCTATACCACTACCAACCTGGGTTTGATTCATTCTAGCATCCTGTTCTTGAATGGCTTATTATGCTTGTACCAATCCTCTGAGCAAGGTATCCAGTGTCTCCTAAATACAGCAAAAACTGTATTAGTTCTAAGTAATTATAGTACTTTATTCCTGTGAAAATCTCAGTGCACTTTGAAAAGGTAGATTGTTTGGATATTTAGATGGTGAAGATAAAAGTGAAAAGAGTGAAATCTTGGCCCCACACTGAAATCAATGGCAGAATTCACCCTCCTTTCACTAAGGACAGGAATATGAACCAAGGGACTTCAGGTGACTTGCCAAGGAAACCACAAAGCAGTGGCAGAGTCGAGTTGCAAACCCAGTAGCTCTGATTCCCAGCCATTTGCCTCAAGCACGAGGCATGTATTGATCTAGGTGCTTATGTGGCCCTCTGTCCCCACAATATCTGCCTGCTTCCCAAGTATTTTAAAATAGAAAGAATAACAAACCCTCTCTTCTTCTCCTTTCCCAGACTTCAAGAGAAACAGCATAGCTAGTTATGGGGCATTTTCTGTTGCCTGCTTTGTGTTCTTTTGCATGTGTGAAGAACCTGAGAGAGGGCCACGTTACAGATACCAGTTCTGCATTTGGTCAAATAAAGTTGGGTCCTTATTTCCAGTGGCAGTGCCGTGACATTCAAGGTCGTGCTGCTCTGAGCGTTCTGCCTGCCTTGCTTTAGCCCAGCGGTCTCCAAACTTTTTTGATCACGCACTCCTATCAGTAAAAAATTTTTGAGCATGCACCCCCAATATATATATATTTATTTATTTATAAATTATATACATGTACTACTCAGTGTAACACTGTACAAAGTTTGGAGACCACTGTACTACTGTACCTCCGTGTTGTGGAACTCCCACTCTTCCCTCAGGATACCTCACGTACTGTACGTGACACGTGACCGTCTGACATACGGACCGAGTGAGGGCGCCGGTGTCAATCCATATATTAAATATTAGTAAAACTTAATTTCTTTCTTATTTTTTTAGATAAAAAATAAATATAAATAGAAGCTCTAATATTTTCTTCCTGCACTCCAATGGATTGTCTTGCACACCCCCTGGGTGCGCAGACCCCACTTTGGAGACCACTGCTCTAGCCTATCCCAGCAGTGGCTAGCTTTATTGATCTGTTCAAACATACTGGTTGCAGGCAGGTGAAACTGTAAACAGAGAGGCTTGATGATGGGTCCTCTTATACCTGATGTCAGCAGACATTTACTCTCTGTGGGTGCCCTCTATGAATTGCTGATACTCTCAGCCTGCTGATACTTTGGCTTCTTCTGTCTTTCCTACTCTTGCAATGGCCTTAAAGAGAATTTAGGTTTCTTAGAGGAGAGAATTGATCCATGTGGGATTCTGCAGTGGGCAATAAGAATGATTGCCCACTGCAGTCTCTAGCACTGGTTGCTCAGGCAGTACCTACTGTGTTTTCTTGTGTACAGCACACTCTTGAATAAGATCTGCCCTTTGTTTTTGAAAGGCAGAATTAAGGGGGAAAGATTGTTCCTTGATCGACATTAGTAAGTAGCAGTAAAACATTAGTAAGTAGCAATAAGTGAATATCAGCTTTTGCAGTACACAAGGAGAAAGAAAGTATCCACAGCCAGCAACTAGGGAGCACCACTTGCAGCACCACAGCAGTATTTTTGCTTCCCCCAGCAGAAGCCAAAACTACTATTAACATATTTCCTTGCTTATAATGCAAAACCCACTTTCCCGCAGCTAAATGTTGGGAAAAGATATGTATTGTACATAAGAAAATAGGGTATTTCAGAGTGCTTCTACTTGTCCCCAAAACTTCTTAGAGGTGGGAAAGTGTGGGGTACTGCAAAAAGGTCTATTGAGATGCATGTAGAAGTACATCCCTTAACTGTGGATATCAAGAATTTCTTATCTACATGTGCAAGAAGTACTGCCTCAATACCATGGGAGGAAACTGGGACACTGAGAGTTAACTTATGGCCTTGGAAACTGTTGCTTGTTTATGTGTTTTCTTACTTACCTCCTACCTACAGGAAAGCTGGACCCTGCGGGAAGTAGTTTGCCAGGTCTCTCACAGCTAGTTATGGTTGGTTTAAAGGCCCATTGGTGCACCAGCAGCAGTAGGTTGCCTCATAATAGTCTGTGTTAGGGCCACTCTTTTCTATTGAGGAGGATGTGGGTAAGAGTCTCAGGAGATGGCTTGGATTGCCTTCCACGGTGACTTCTTGTATACACGGGCTGATTTCCGGGATAGAGGATGGTGAGTCTGTTGCGCTGTCTTTTGGCATGTTGTTCTTGGTGGGCTACAATACCCACTTTGGGGGAATCTTCTCAGTGAAGTAATTCTTGCAAGTGGAAGGTGTTGTGTTAGGAGGTTGAGTTCTCCATCCTGGGCATTAAACATTGCATCATCTTATCTTTCTGATCCACTTAAGAAAGCAAAGGCAAAATTAGTATAAAAAGCTGCTGCTGATAAGAATGCCAATTGCATTATAAACGTGTAGCTTAGTGCTAGATCCCACTCAGTATATCCCTGCTGTAAGTTGCCGAAGCTTGGGCCTCAGTGGGGAATACTCTAATGCAGTGCTCAGGAGAGTTCAGATGAACTGATGAACTGGACCCGTCAAGAAAAAGAATATAGTACTGTTTAAGAGCTAGCTAGACAAACTTTCTGCTGAACCTGTACCGAGAGCACCTGTGTTTAAAACTTCAGTGTAGAAGGGACCAAAAGGTGTTCTTTCCCAGTAAGAGCCTCTTGAAACAGAAACAAAGCTGGAAAAAAGCCCTTGATGTTCACACGCTCCTATTTGTACATCTGATGTCTTGAGAACGTTTCCAGTAATATAAATCATATTTGTTTAAAAAAAAATTATCCAGGAATTTCCAGTCCATTTGTGCGCTTTTGCCTAGACTGCAACACACCAAAAAATCCACCCATTAATAAAAGATCTCCCTTGTCAGTGGAAAAGGGTCAATCTCTTTTTTTCTTTTAAATATAGAACTCCATGGGGTGCAGTAGCAGCATGTATGCTGTTGTCTAGGGAAATGAAATTAAGCTTTTGGCAACCCTAAGTGAAAAGGAGATGAGGCATTTACAGTGGGGGAGGGTGCTGGGGGAGGAAAGGCACTCTAATGACTTCTTTAATGGGAGTCCTTCCCAAAAGCATCCATGGCATTCCTCTGCAAAAGGAAGAATAAGTGCTCAGCACCATATATGGTGACACTTTTATGTTTTTTAATATAAACACGTACAGGCTGGAGCACTCCATGTGGCCTCGGTTGCACTGATTGGTTGGTTTGGACAGGGGAATGAGACCCTGCTTTTAATATCTTAGTATTAGGAAAGTAAAAAGCTTGGACTTGAATAAATAAACACTAGGGCAGAGTTGGAAAGATTTTAAACATTGCAAAATAGCCCCTTCCTCTGACTGGCTTTTCCAGCCTTTGTATTTGTGTTTCTTTAGCATGTTTGTTTGGGTCTGTTTGGGACCGTTTCATCCCTCAAGTGTACTGTGATTTTTGTTAAGGGGGTGCCTGGGTGGTGTGTGGGCTTCACAATGCAAGCAGAGCAGCTGTTTAAGAGACAGTTCCTTCAAACATAAGAGAGAACCTACCCAGCCTCACCGTCCGTCTGAATGCTGGTTCAGAAAATGAGAGGGACCCCCTGGGTTTGATCTAGTTAGTGCAACACAAAGTAATTTAGCTCAGGCATGTTAGAGTCTGGGAACAGGAACCATTTTCTTCTGTTCTGATTTCACTTAAACTTTTCAGAAACCAAGTTGGAGAATGCAGCTGCCAGGTGTCTCTGATGCTGAGAGAAAGTTCAGTTTCCAAAGGAGAAATGCACAGAGAGTGAGTACAGTTCCCAGGGACTTGCATGGGTGGGTTCTATTTTTTGCTCTGCTAATTCTCTGCCCTTCCAGACCCAAGCTGGCTGTGGTTCAACCTAATCCCCAAATGTGACCCAACAAATTGTTTTCATCATTGTATCAAGGCAGAGTTCGAGGAGATCTTTTTTGTTTGTGCCCTTATATGGTTCCTGAAGTCATCACTGATGCAATAAACTAATGGAGTGTGTTCCTCTAATCAACCTTCCCTTCTCTAAACACATTTTGTCCCTGCTCCCAGCTTGTTCCCTGACATTTTAAAGCAGACCCTTTCCTTGCTGTCTCTCTCTTTTTCTCTTTTGCTGAACTTAGTGGGAGGGAGCCAGCTAGCTCTGGAGAGCGAAGGGATGGTGGTGACCGTGGTGCACTAACGTTTGGGAAAGCCAGCTGCCTTGAAAGGAGCAGTGGGGAAACCAGAGCAGCTGAGGAAGAGTGGGAAGACGTGCGAGGGGTGCTAAAAAGACGAGTGGAAACCCGGGAGCACACAGAGGAGAACCTGAGGCAGCAGGAAGCAGAGCAACTTGATTTCCGTGACATTCTGGGAAAGAAAGTCAGCACCAAAAGTTTTTCCGAGGAGGATCTGAAAGAAATCCCAGCCGAACAAATGGACTTCCGTGCGAACCTGCAGCGGCAGGTCAAACCCAAGACCTTGTCAGAGGAGGAAAGGAAAGTTCACAGTCCTCAGCAGGTGGACTTTCGTGCAGTGCTTGCCAAGAAGGGCACCCCCAAAGCCCCTGTGCCGGAGAAAGCATCAGCCCCCAAACCAGCCACCCCAGATTTCAGATCTGTACTCGCCTCCAAGAAGAAGCCACCGGCTGAGAATGGCAGCACCGACATCCAAGCCCAGAATGCCCGCACCAATTCTGAGGTGCCAGACGCCATCACCGAGGCTGAAACCCAGCCTAGTAAACCAGTAGTCAAAGAAGAGGAGAATGACAGGAACTGTGAGCATGGGTGCTCAGTGGTAGATGGTGGGATAATTGAGCCAGAGGTTGAGAGTAAAGGAATAGCTCCATCATTTACGGAGAAGCTGCAGGATACTCATGTAATAGAAGGTGAAAAATTAATGTTACAATGTCGGATTTCGTCTGACCCTGCTGCATCTGTCACCTGGACATTGGATGACAAAGCCATCAAACCCTCAAAGTTCATTGTCATCTCTCAAGAAGGTAAATTAAATGACCTAGATGGCACACCATTGCATGCATACTCTTTATGAATACTGTTTAGTTATTAAAAGTAATGCACTACCTTATTTGAGTGCTATGGCTGTAATGGACTCCAGATACACTGGCCTTGTTATTTCAGGGTAGTGTACAAGGAACTGGATTATTTGACATGTTTCCTGCAGATTTCCCTTTAACAGTCTGCAGATGTAGTTTTTGTGAAGTCAAACATCTTGCATTCTCAAATACTGTTTGAATGTTACCAGTGTTTAAGGAGCCAGTACACAGTGTTTGTTTAAACTGAACTTTAAAGATTGATAACTTTGAAAAACAGAATAACACCATTGCTGGTTTATAACATCAAATTTAATTCTTTATGTATGTTTAATAATTCAAGATGGGTTTAATTGAGTTAAGAAGCATGGAAGGAAGGGAGGGATTGTTTTGTAAAATGTTTCAGCTACATGCTGTAAAAGTAGCTAAGATCAGAGCTGAGAGACTTAATTCCCTGTGTATATTTAATTCAGATGTGTGTAATGATATTCTCTTTTAAATGATCCCATTACCTTACAAGATGCTGCAACATTCCAGGACACTAGCTCAAAACTTTGTGGATTATGAATTTATGTCATAGACCTGCAAATGGATCAGAATTTGGCAAAAGCCCTTAAAAGAGAGCACTTCGTGTTTCCAAGTTAACAGGTATTCTACATGATATAAAGCAGGTCATTTTAGGCTGGTTTTGCAGAGGAGAAAAGCAGGAGTATATTAGTATCACCAAATGAGCTTCCTATTGTCAGTCAATTTTGGGAAGAACCACGGACCAGAAATAGACCTGATCCTGCAGAACCCAGAGCACAGAGGTGATTGTGGCCATAACTTAGTTTGCCACAATGCCTACTCCCTTAGCTAGGTATCACTTCCCAGGAAAGCACAAGCGGTTTTAGTGAAACAATGAGAACCACAACTTTCATACAAGGGGTCCCTTCTTCTTACAGTACAGGGATTTGAACACTAAATCAACCTCAGGGCTCTCTTATTTTAAGATGAGAAGATGCAGCAGGTACACAGCTTCTTGTATGTCCCTGAAGTGGCTTGAGAGCTTTTCCAGTTATCTGCCTTGCTTTGTCATGGGGCATGTCCTGCCTTAGTTTAGAATAGGGATGGTGTTGAATGGAGGAGAGGTGGCTGGAAGGAGGGGAAGGACCCCTTGAAAGAAGGACTGAGTTGCTGGGTGTGGGGAGATGGAGGGTGAAACCACATGACCTTCACTCTGAGCCAAACCCGTGAGCTTTTTTAGACTAGTATCTTGCTGAGACAGGTTCACACCTTGTCCTTATTGAGGTAAATCAGAGTGCAGGAATATGACCCACGCGAAAGCTTCCTCTCCCCGTCCTCTTCCTCACCCTGGAATTACAGCAAGCAACTGGGCAGCATAAAACTCTGTACCAAACTGAGATTCATTTTTCTAAGCCGTGGCAAAGACCTCAGCATTTCTGCAGCCCCAGGCTGCCCTCTTGCCTGATGGCAGCTGAGTGTTAAGAAATATAAATGTTAGAAAGGAACATAGGGGTTGTGACAGGATTTTTTTTTGAGGGCTGGAAGCCATACAGTCAGAGCAGAGTCTGTGTCCTGTCATTTAGCTGTACAACATGCTAAAGCTTCCCAGCACGTTTGGGGCTGGTGTGATGCCATCAGATTGTGTGGCCCTCACACTTGGCTGATGTCCTGCATGACATCCCAAAGCAGCCAGTTCTTCTCACTAGGCTGAAAACAAAAGCTCATCACCGGATGCAAAGTTTGCTGCTCAAAGATGACCAACATGTAAGAACTCAGCACACTGCCCTTAGCATCCAGTTGTGTGGCTGCTGTTGTTTCTTTATCATGATTAACTCATCGACATGGTCCTTTCTCTTAGAAGCAAATAATAAATTATGAAGTCAATCCTTAAACCTTCTCCTTGAATGGAAATAAACTCTAGTAAGGTTACAATTATTTACTGTACCCTATTAGCTTACCCTTTCGTAAGTTGAGAGGAGAGCAATGAATAGCGATCCAACCAATATCTGCTTGCTTGGGAATTTGGTGAGCCAGCTCATGCCATGATGTGATGCTTCATTGCCTGCTGTGAATTAATTAAGTAGAATTGTGTGACTCTTCACTGCAAGAAAGTGCCAGTTTTCTTGGTGATTTATTTTCTCCTTTCCATAAATATGGGTATGTCAAGATTTGAGGAAAGGTCAACAGCAAGGAAGAAGAAATAGTTCTTATAATAAGGCAGGTGCAGGGAATAAGGAGCTATAGGGTGAAACAGAGAAAAGCCAAGCTTAGCTTAAACAATGAGAAAGACTGCCTGAGGGTAAAAGCGGCCGTAGTAGCCACTCTATATCATGTGATGCTTTAAATCTCAATTTGATGCAACAACGGTAAGTATACTCAAGCAGTGAGGCTGGTGGGTAGGGATCTAGTCTGGGCTAGGGAGGCCAGGCTTCTGTTACCAGGCCAGGCTTTTCTTCCCGATGTTTCCTGTCAGTTGTTTAGGACAAGTACTGCTTCTTTCTGTATATAGCAATGCCCTGATGTCCTTTGCATGGTCTCTGTGATTTGCCATAGTGTCAACAGAGAAGATTGTTGCACCGAATCACAGACTAGCTGACTCTTTTCCATCTGTAATGACTAATGAACCTGCACATTGCCCACAAGCCTTCTGTTCCACAAGAAGCTTTCTGCCTAAGCAAAGTCTGTACTGAGGCTTTTGCACCTGTAGAAAAATGCAGTTGAATATGATGAAAGTGCCAGGGCAGAAAACAGGACACCTGCCACTTTGTCACTTGACCTTCCCATTGGCATTTTATGTGTCTGCTTGTTTGTAGCTGTATTTTCCAGCAGACAAGAAAGAAGCAAGTGATACTACTAAGCCATTCAACACATAGCTGTTAACCTAATAGAATTTATTTCCATTTGAGGAGATGATTGTGGTTGATAATTCATGATATGTTTTTGCAAAATCCATACTGTGCCGGGTGCCATTCAAATACAAAAGGATGCCAGGTCCCATGTGCCCAATGTTTTTACTGTTACTTGAAGTTTGAACTCATTGGGTTGATTTCCCCACTGTGAAAGTAAATTGAGTGGCCTCTTTCTTCTCCCACAGTTTTGTGCAATGCCTAATTACATGCTTAGATCACATTGGAGAGTATAGAAGCTTAAAATACCCAAAACCTCAGAACAGAAAACAGCTGAAGAGTTAATACCTTGTATCACCATGTCAGAGACCCTGATACAATCTCATACCAGCCTGGCACTGGAAGTTAGGGCACCTTTGTTCCTCTAAAACAATCCCTTCAGCCAACCTGGGAGCAGCATGGAGTGGTAATTGCATCCAGTCATCCTCAGCTAAAAAAAGGTTGATGCAGTGGGGGGGACTAAACTAATAGCGAAGGGACAAAGCATCACAAGACACACTGCTCGAAGCAAAGGAAACTCATAGGCATGGCATACACCTACTTAATGAATCAAGCACTGGAATATGCCACTTCCAGAAAGAGGCAGGCCTTTATTTCCTATCTTGCATAGCACACACCTGTCCTCATGGAGGTGGGCTACCAGCCCACACAACCTGCAACTTAAGTGACACATGAACATGGCCTAGCACCACCTATTTGCCCTTTTGGAAACCAAATTAATACAACCCAGTGCTACTGGAAAGCAAACAAGGCTGCAAGACTGATTCAGACCTCCTGCAGACAAATTTATCTTTGGGGTGGTATGGGCATGGCAATCCATTGATTTCAGTAACATGGCCCCCTGTTGTATGCCAGTGATTCATTTATCTGGGTACTGCAGTTAAATACAAAGATATTTAAGGGTGGGCGGGTAGGTAGATAAGTGGGTGGGTGGGTGGATGGATATATCTGTAGAAAGAGAAAATCTTGCACATAATCTGTTATGACACCTAGGTGGTGCCAGGGATCTCAACAACTCTTCTGATTGTACTAACTCATTGGAAGTAACTTTCCCAGCCATGTTTGTTTCTTATTTGTAGGAACCTTTTCTCTGTCAAATACTTCTCTATTACAATGTTTCTTGTTTGAAAAGCTCAGCCCTATTATCCCTCCATGAACCACGTTGTCAGTGGCATCAGGAAGAAGAGATGGGCCTGAGCTGTGAAGCTTTGGGTCGAGATTCAAGCTGCCTTGCACTAGAGGAGCCCAAACCAGAGCACCAGATCCAAATCCATTTCTCATTCTAAGGTCTTCAGCAAGCAAGAGAGAATATTCTACTCAAAAAAAAAAGATCTTTGTTTCTGGGCCTCTTCCCTCAGCCACTACTTAGCCATACGCCAGACTCCAGTGTTTAATCTGAGCTTTCCAAAATGCTACCCCAGGTTGGAGCGTATGTTTAGCTATAAAAAGCCAGAGCTTAGGTCATATAACATTGAGCACCTTATCACAATCACTACACATCCTGGAGCAGTGTCTTTTTCTTTCACCTTCTTATCCCAGCCATCAACAGTGTGACTTATTCTTCCTCAACTCATGCACATTCATGCTTGCTGCCATGCTGTTAAAGTGATGTTATCATCAAACCACAAGACTCATTTTATAGGGGGGGCTTTTGTTGTGTGAAGTGTGGTGTTCACAAGAGAACATCTTTCTCTGGCTCACAAATTTAACTGCTTGCTACTGCATATGGTGGACGTTTCTGCTCATTCTGTTTTTATAATGATGGCAGTTCTTTCAGAGCCTTTCTAAAGGTCCATTTGTTTCAGTGCTTGCAGTCGGCCCCATTACTTTTTCATCTCTTGTAACTTAAAATAAATGAGACAGATGAGATAAGCAAGTATGTTCAGGAAAGGGAAATAGGGTTTCAGTTACTCAGGTTAGTCATATTTACTTCTGCATGGATAGTTAACTTTCATCTGTATTGCACTTGAAAAGGTGAGGGCACTTCTTTCTTTGTGAGTGATACCAAAGAAATGAATTAAGAAGGATTTAGAAGAC